CAATCTTGGAGGTCAGACAGTGGTGCAACTCTCAGTAAAAGCCAGTGCAACATGACGCTGCAGGGCTGACCCACGTAGGATGGTTCCAGCTTCAAGTTCAGAGACCTTCCTGAGTATGCTGGCACTCCTGTGCCTATGGAGTTGGCTGAGACTAGGAGTGAATCACAGTGTCAAGACCCTGCTGGGAGACTCATTGGCGAAAAGCTCACTAGTGGCGCCACCAGTGTAGTGATATGATGCAAGATTCCCATTTGGGACCAACAGTTAACGTAATGGCTATGTCGCTGGACTCCCATGAAGTCGACCGCGGTTCCCGTCCTGAACCTGGTGGCTTAAAACTCACGCCAGGCGTGTGTGCGTGCGTGCCCAAGATCCCGAGAGGAGAATGGAGGAGAAGGGATTGTGGCATGGCCATCCCCCCTGGGGGGTGATTTCTTGCTTTCTGTCTCTGTCTGGCGAGCACACGCGCCCTATAGCAAAATAATAATAATAATAATAAACTCAAAAATATTAAGACCCTGCTGGGAGAACTGACCCTCTATCTCTTTTGCTCATGGCAAAAATAAACCAACTTTTTTTAAAAAAAGTTTTTTAAAGGGGAATCTTGCTCAATTAAGTGGTTTGCATCTTCATGTGAAGCAAAACCCTTATTCTTTACTGCATTTAGAGACTAGATTTTTTTTCTTACCTTATGGACTATATGACTACAAAACTCGTGGTTATTTTAGACCACTAACGTTCAGTAGAAATTTAATACAAACCAAATGTGTGATTTGTATATGTAATTTAAAAATTTGTAGCCATATTTTAAAATGTAAAAATCACAAGCAAAATTAATTTTAATCATATTATATATAGTACAATATATTTTAATATTATCAGCACATACTTAATATAAAACATAGTAATGTGATATTTTGCATTCACTTTTGGATTCAGTATTCAAAATACAGGTTGCATTTTTTTTTTTTTAAGTTTTGCCAGAGAGAGAGAGAGAAGAAAAAGAAAGAGAGGGAGAACATAAAAGCATTCCCCGTAGGACACTACAATTCCCTCTCCCATTTCTCCCTCTTTTCAGGATTTTGGGCATTCATGTACACATGCCTGGTGTGTTTCTTAAGCCACTGAGTTTGGAACTTGAACCATGTAGTTGGCCAGATGGGATCCAGTTGCTTAACCACCAGGCCACAGCTTGCCCCAAGTTATATTTTTATGCTCAAAACACACTTAAATTATTTATTTAAGTATTTATTTATTTATTTATTTCCATTTGTTACTATTATTTTTAAATTTGGTCAGAGAGAGAGAGAGCGAAAGGGAAAGCAAGGAAACAAGCCACCAACTCTTGGACTTGAACTGTGGTCAGCCATGTGGGAATCCAGTGCCTTTAACCCCCACCCCACCTGCCGCCCCACACACTTAAATTCTTACTTAAGTGGGTAGTCACTGTCATACTGAACAGTGCAGTTCTAGATAGCTAACATTTATTGACTATTTTCTATGTCCTCTGTGCTTTACTTGTGTATATTCATTTAATCATCAACAACTCTGTGGCTGGTGCTATGAACCCATTTTACCAAAGAGCACACTGGAGCTTAAAGCACTCAGATTATTTGTGTGCAAATTGCTATTGGTGTAAGGAAGCTAGAACTGGGCCATTTTGACTTCAAAATAAGGATCTGAATTAAAACGAGTCATTAGAGGAGACAGCATGACAGATTCTGAGACTTTTTTGAAAGGATATGGAAGATTAGACACAGGGGTAGAGGCTAATTAACATCAGGTCATAAGGTGACAGGAAACATGTTTGAAAGAAGGAAACTTTTGAAGCAAAATGTGAGGACAAGGGATAGAATTGCTTTATCCATTAAGACACTGCCACCCGTACCCCTTGGAGTTCATTTATTCTCTGCCAGGATGTTTGGCAACCACCCAATGACCACATACTTAGAACAGAGTGACTTCTCTTCCTCCCATTCTCAACCTCCATCTGCTTCATGAAGTTTGGGTAGAAGTATAGGCTATGGTGACTGGTATAAATTAAGGCTAGAGTCTCTGAACAACCATGATGCCATGGCTTTGTTATAAAGGCCTGTAAAATATTATCCTGGTGTCATGGATTATACAAATGTGCACCAATGGCAGTTTCCTCCTTTCCTCATTTTGAACACAATGTTCAAAATGAGTAAAATATGTTTCCCATCGCACTTCCCTTGTGCTTAGGGACCCAGTGAACTCCTTTTAAGCATTTTAAGTTTTCCACATCTTTATAAAAATGTTTTGTTGTTTTACAGAAACATGTTTTTGATCAAGAATGTAATTTCACAATTGCGTGTGTGTTTCTGAAACAAATACGTGGATGGAACGAGTGCATGGAGGTGGCTTAGGTTCTGGTGATCCAATCCGGAAGTGCAGACTCTCATGTTCACCCCTCAGGTTTGACTGAGAGCTCATTAAATGATCTGAAGAGAAGGAACCACTCAGCTTCCTGTTTTTGTACTCTTTTTACTTCTGGATTTAAAGAATTAGAATTGAACAATTTCAATCATTTTTGTCGAGCCACATAGAAATTGAACTCTTAAATTCGTGGGCCATCATGAACTTTATAAAAGCATGACAGCAGTATCCATTTCTGATATGTTAGAAGGCATGACTTACTTCCTTCAGTTACTTTATCTAAATCTTTGGATATCTTGTCCTGCTTATGTTATCCAACCTTTATTCTTCACCCTACATTGTTTTGAGACAGGCATGAGAGGATGTTATCCTACAGGATATATAGTATAAATACCATAACTAAAAGCGTTAATGTATATTTAAGAAATACTAAACCTTCTATGAACTGTTATGCACCTCTCATTTAATTCTGATGACATGGGAAGTAGATATTACCTCCATTTTATGAATGAGAACATTGACTTGCTTAAAGTTATAGAGCTAATAAGTAACTGATCTAGCATTTAAATCAAGGGAGTTCTAATTCCAAACCCTACACTTGGAATCAGTAGGGTATACATGGGTCATATAAGAAGGTATTACGTATTTTCCCAAATTTATAGGAATAAGTTTTGGTAGTCTTTAGAACTGTCAGCTCTAACTTTATGACGTTTACTACTATGTTACAGTTTTCATATATTTATGATATTTAAGACATAAGCAAATTAGTAAAGATGGCTGATCCTTTCTTTCTTCCCTTATTTTTTCTGACTTTTAAAATTACTCATTTCCTCTTTTTTTGCCACTCAAGAATCCTTGGGACAAAAAAAGAGGCTGCATAATTTTTTTATTTGTTATCTTTTTTTTTAATTTGGGTAAAATTCACATAGCATAAAACTATGTTAAGTAAACAATACAGTGGCAATTGATACCTTCACAGTGTTGTACAACCACCAAGACTGTCTAGTTCTAAAATATTTCTGTCATCCCAAAGTAGAAAGTTTCTTCTTCTTCTCCTTTGCCGCTAGCCCCTGGCAAACACCAATCTGCATGGATTTAACTATTCTGGATATTTCATATGAAAGGAATCAAACAATATGTGACCTTTTGTGTCCAGCTGTCACTGAACACAATGTTTTTAAAATCATCCATGTTGTAGCGTGTATCAGTTCTTCATTTCTAATCATAGCAGAGAACATTCTATGGCATGGATGGATTACAATTTGTTTCTTCATTTCTCATTTGAGCTGTTTCCACCTTTTGGCTATTATAAATAGTGCTCCTAAAACCATGTACTTATTGAGTACCCTGTTTTTAATTCTTTGAGGTACATAATTAGGAGCAGAATTGCTGAAGCATGTTATAATTATACATTTAACTTTTTGAAGGACTGCCAAACAGTTTTCCTTTCTTTTTCTTTTTTACAGAGTTTCTGCCTTATGGTGCATGTGCTTGCCAGAGAGAGAGAGAGAGAGAGACAGTCAGTGAGTGGGAAAATAAGAAATCACCCCCCTTAGGCCTGGCTGTGCCACAACCCCTTCTCCTCCATTCTCCTCTCGGGATCTTGGGTGCTCGTGCACACACACACACACACACACCCCCACACACACACCAGGTGCGATTTTCAAGCCACCAGGTCCAGGACTCAAATCATGGTCGGCCATATGAGAGTCCAGCAATGTGACCACTATGCCATCTGCTGGGCCCTGCCAAACAGTTTTCTACAGTAGCTGAACCACTTTACATTCCCACCAGTACTGTAAGAGGGTTTCTGTATGTCCTCACTAACTTTCTCAGGATTTTGTTTTGTTTTGTTTTGTTTTGTCATATCTATCCTCCTGTGTCAAGTAATACCTCATTATGATTTTGATTTGTATTTCCCAAATAACTGATGATGTTGAACATCTTTGTGTGTGTATGTGTGTTCACCATTTGTATAAGGGGAGTTGCTAGAAAATTCATTAAAAATACACATTATGAAAAAAGCTATGCATGGATTTCAGGGTTTATTGCCTCAAAAAACCTCCTACTTTAATTCCATTTTTTAATGAATTTTTCAAAATTCTTTCATATATCCTCTTTGGGAAAATGTCTGTTCAAATCTTTTCCCATTTTTTAATTGGTTTGTGTATCCATTTGTTGGTGAGGTATACCTGTAATTTGCATATTCTAGATATTACTGTAGCTTTTTCAGATATATGATTTGAAAATATCTTCTCCTATTCTTTAGGCTGTCTTTTTACTTTCTAGATAATGTCCTTTGATGCACCAGAATTTTTAATTGTGATAAAGTTCAGTTAATCTATTGTACTTTATAAATGCATCTTACTGATTTATCTGTTTTTCTTTTGTCTTTTTTTAAAAATCACACTTTGGTCATCATATCTAAGAATTCATTGTCAAATCCAAGATCATGAAAACTTACCCATATGTTTTCTTCTAAGAATTTTATGGTTTTAGTTTTTATATTTCGGTCACCAATCCACTTTGACTTCGCTTTCGTATATAGTGTGAAGTAAACATCCTATTTACTCTACTTTCTCTTTTTCTTTTTTAATTCTTAGGAACTCTTGAAAGTAAGGGACTGCATATTTTTAATCTGACTTCTCTAACCAAGTCGGAAAATATTTTATCTGCCACACTGTATTTCTATATTGGAGATCTAGTGAACATCAGTCGGAGTTGTCCAATATCCCAAGGATGCTCACATCGTGCTCAGAGGAAACACATTCAGATAGATCTCTCTGCTTGGATCCTCAAATCTAATATAAATCGAAGTCATCTCCTGGGTAATCTGTCAGTGGAGGTAGCCAAACATCATCGAGACATCATGTCCTGGCTATCTAAAGACATCACTCAACTCCTGAGGAAAGCCAAGGAAAATGAAGAGTCCCTCATAGGATTTAACATTACCTCCAAAGGACATGAGCTTCCAAAGAGGATGTTACATTTTCCAGAGCCTTATATCTTGGTGTATGCCAATGATGCTGCCATTTCTGAGCCAGAAAGTGTGGTATCAAGCTTACAGAGACACCAGAATTTCCCCACAGTAGCTGTGCCCAAGCTGGATAGCCACATTAGAGCCACCCTTTCTATGGAACGGAGGAAGAAGCGCTCTACTGGGGTCTTGCTGCCTTTGCAGAACAATGAGCTCCCTGGGTCAGAGTATCAGTATAAGGAGGAGGGAATGTGGGAGGAGAGGAAGCCTTACAAAACCCTCCAGACACAGCCCCCAGAGAAGAGTAAGAACAAAAAGAAGCAGAGAAAGGGAGCTCACCAGAAGAGTCAAACACTGCAGTTTGATGAGCAGACCCTGAAAAAGGCAAGAAGAAAGCAGTGGATTGAACCTAGGAATTGTGCCAGGAGATACCTGAAAGTAGACTTTGCGGATATTGGCTGGAGTGAATGGATTATCTCTCCCAAGTCCTTTGATGCTTACTATTGCTCTGGAGCGTGCCAGTTCCCCATGCCAAAGGTAGCCATTTTTCATTGTCCTGTACTTCCTATTTCCATAGGGTAGAAAGACACATTGACTAAGTTAAGTGTGTGTGGGTGTATAAATGTGTATTTCTATTTACAAAATTCATCTGGACCCTTACTTATTACATTCTACAGTATCAGAGGTAATATGGTTATGCTTGGTTTTTCTTTAATAGTCGTTAGAGTAATATGAAGTCAGAATTGGTATGAAGGATGATATCAGAAAACATGTGTGTGTAAAATATGGTTTCATGTTGCTTCCAGACGCAGGATATATTCAACTACATGTTCATGTGTCAATGATAAGCAAGCCCCAGATAGTAGAAGGCTGATTTCTGAGAGGGTATTCAGGGAACGTGTGGGTGTCATGGGAAGAAAGAAAAGAGCTAGTAGGATTGATGCCTTGATGCAGAACATTTTTGATAGTCACTCAGAAAAAAGGTGAGTTGTCCCCATGGACATCAGTATCAGGATTGGGTCAAGTAAGCTGGCTTCACAAAATCCACTAGAAGCTTATTTCATTTGCTTCTCTGCTATCCATCAAAAAACAGGGTAAAAAATAGAATGTGAGGACTCTCTAAGCTTTTTCCAAGACCCAATTCAACCTATCATAGCTTACCTGTGTCTCTTCCAAAATTGAGGGACTGTGCTTTATTATATCAATACTCAGATTCCTAACAAATATCTTTTCAGAAGTCTCTCCACCTTCCACCTCCATCTTGCACATCAAGTCCAAGTAACCATTTTCTTTGAATATAGTGTAAATAGTTCACTTTAGAGCAAAATATTATGATGCCCTGTAGCCTTCAGTTAATCTTATTGCTGCACTTGCATCCTCTGCTTGTAACATTTTGAATCACAGTTACATGATCAAAAGTGATTCTGGAAACAGAATTCACAGGAAGATTAAAATCTCATTTTTTTTGTCAGAATGTCTCAGAAAAATGAATGTTTTACATTTTTTAAGACCTTGTTTTCCCCACCTCCCCAAATTTTGATGATTTCATATTTTGTAAACCCAAACACAAAAGGTTATATTTACAATTATACAAAAAGCCCAATCTTGTCTAATTTTTATAAAACACATCTCACTGATCAAACAGGACTCATTTCATTACCATGATATTTAAAAACACACACAAACAGAGCTGATAAACATAGCAATGTGTCATGAATCTTTATTTTTTAAACTTTTTTCAAGAATTATTTTATTTAACTTTATTTATTTTATTTTATTTTTAATTTTGACCAGAGAGGGAGTGAGGGAGAGAGAAAAAGAAGGAAAGTGAGAAAGCAAGCTTCCAGATCTGGGACTTGAACCGTGGTTGGCCATGTGCACGTCAAGCACCCTTAACCACCACGCCACCTGCCAGCCCTGATGGATCTTTATTTTATGGTATGGCTTTCCATGTGAACTTGAAATGCCAGAATGGATTTACAACCCATCTTTAAACCCTGGATGACTGATTTTAGGTAGGTCTTGGAGGCTTGTGAAATAACCTTACTCTCATAAACTGTAATTTCACAGGTAGCCTGGGAAAGCAATTTTTCTTTTCCAATTTTTAGAAACCAGGGATTCATGATAATGTAGAGGTACTTGGTTTGTCTTTCAATCCTTGACTCCAGAGAATTGGCGTGGTTCGTACCCTCCGCAATTACTTCCAGCTTGTCCTCCTCAAAAACAGTTGACTGTTCTTACTGTTCAAAAGCCTGCAGTACTTTGAAAAGAGCTTTACTGGGAACCAGCAGTTAGCGTAATGGCTATGTCGCTGGACTCCCACATAGTCGACCGCGGTTCGCGTCCCGGACCCGGTGGCTTAAAACTCACGCCGGGCGCGTGTGCGTGCGTGCCCAAGATCCCGAGAGGAGAATGGAGAAGAAGTGATTGCGGCGTGACCATCCCCCCTGGGGGTGATTTCTCGCTTTCTGTCTCTATGTCTCTCTCTGTCTGTCTGGCGAGCGCACACGCCCTACAGTGAAAATCTCTCCAAAAAAAAAAAAGATAAGAGCTTTACTATGGTTCTCAGTGACCTAGAGACTAACTGAAAACTAGTAAGGAGGACCAGCAGATAGTGTAACGGTTACGTTGCTGGACTCCGGCATGGTCAATCGCAGATTGAGGCCCAGACTCAGTGGCTTGAAACTCACACCTGGTGCATGTGCATGCATGTCCAAAATCTCAAGAGGAGAATGGAGGAGAAGGGATTCAGGCATGTCCATCCTCCTTGGGGGTTGATTTTTCACTTTCTGTCTCTCTGGTGAATGAGTGTACCCTATAGAAGAAATCTATCTTAAGAGAAAAAAAAAAAACTGATAAGGTACACATTAAGAACAGCAGAGATATAAACATGGTTTATTTTAGCCAGAGTTTAGGACAGATTAACCTAGATAAAGAAACTCTGGTTCCCCAGAGATTTGCTCACGGAAATAGTGACCAAGAAAAGTGGTTTCTTTCGTTTTTATTTATTTTTTAATTAATTATTTAAACTCCATTTGTTATTATTATTATTTTTAATTTGACCAGATAGAGACAGAGAGAGAGAGAAAGGGAAAGTGAAAAAGCAAGCCACCAGTTCAGGAGCTGAACTGCAATCAGCCGTGTGGGAATCCAGTGCCCTTAACCACCATGCCACCTGCTGGCCCCAAGAAAAGTTGTTTCTGTGACAAAGAGAAGGCCAAGAGGGGAGTTGACCACTTGTTTATGTAGAGTTTACAGTGATCCATTTAAACTAATTCAGGCAATTGATTAGCTGTACCTTATTCTTTACATGAATTCAAGAACACCGGGATGAAGAAAATGTGGGGGTCACCTTGTATAATTTACAATAAACTAAAACATGCCCCTGGGGCAATAACCCTGATGGGTATCGGACAAAACAACAAAAATAAAAGGCAACAGAGATAGATTGAAGGAGAGAAGTATGTCAGTACAGCAGAATGATTAAATGGGCATGCTTGGTCATAGCAGGGCTTCTTAATTTTTCATGTATGTATCTGTAAACTGTCTGGGGTCTTGTTAATATATGCAGGTTCTGATCCAATGGATATGGCAGAGAGCCTAAGATTCAGCATATTTAGCAAGCTTCTGGTGTTGCCGATGCTGCTGATTCACAAATTGTACTTTGAGTAGCAATATCAAGAGTCGAATCCTTTTGGCTTGAATTTTGGTTACACTACTTAGCAGCTGTGGTTCTTTGGAGAGGCTACTCAAACTCTCTACATGTTAGGATTATCATCTTTGAAATGGACAAATCAGTAAACAGTAAAAATAATAGCATCTACTTAATAAAAACGGGCAAAATTAGATAGTAGATCATTGAACCTAACAGGCACTCAGTAAGTATTTGCTATTGATATTGTTAGTAACGGTTATTACTGAGACGGAGAATAAAAAAAAATTAAATGTAGGAAGCTACAGAAAGATTATATAGGGAACGAGATCAAGAAGATGAAAATCACAAGGTGAGAAAAAATTTTCTAAATGTGTCTAGCCCCTTCCAAACACCATGAAGCTGAAAACAGGATTCTCTCTGTGGATTCAACAGCCCGTGAGTTCGTGCAATAAGATTCCTTTGGAGAGTCATCGAACCAGGGAGCATCAGTTGGAGCAACTGAACTCATAATATTTGTCAAAACTTGGAATGACACCCTAACTCCAGGGAGACCTAATGGGGATAAGTGTGGAGCTTTCTCTCTGAGCTTGAGATTTCCTTTTGCCAAGTGGAGAGTGGAAGTTTGGCTGTTACATGGAGTTCTCAATCTCTCATCACCTTATGTGAATCTGCTTAACTTTTAAAGCTTTTTTAGTGGGTCTCTGTAAGCCTTCCAGGCTTTGTGTCTTTTAAGTGGTACAGCCATTGAAAACGGCTCAGAAATGTAAAGCCACAGGAACCTGCTACATTAGGGATAATTAATTAGCTTCACCGTTATCAGCAAGTGTCCAACATGGCAACCAGAGTAAACTATTTAAATAAAACTACAGTCTGAGCAACAGAGGAAAGCAGAGGTCTCTGACCAGATCAGTGCACGCATGTGGAATAATTGAGGTGCCAAAGAGCTTTCAGACGTTAGATATACATTTTGCCCTAGAGATATGTTCTCCCAGGCCAGACTCCTCGTTTGCCTCCTTTCTCTTGGCCTCCTGAGCAAAAACCTGCTCTATATGGCAGGCTTTTTGTCTGCAAAACTCGACAACCTGTTCTGTAATTCAGAACAGCTGTGTTCTGCCTTTCCCAAATTCCAGGCTTTGCCCTTTCACTGATTCCAATTAGGTAGTTTCTGGGCTATCACACCCATGTGGGCTGGGCTTGAAGAGTGTGGAGCAAAACCCCATGGCCCAGGTCAGGAATGAAGGCCCTTAGCTGATGACATACTCTCCCCTGCTAATGCATTTGTAATCAGATTCAACCCGAGGACATCATACACAGCTTGGCAGGTGCAGGCCTGACCACTGTAGATTTCATTCACAGACACGGCAGTTTGGATTTTTCTGATTTCTAGTCTGCACAGCCAATCTGTTCTCCCAAAGAGAGACACTTGGAATTGTGCCATGAGATGAAAAATACCCGTATAGCTAAAGCCAAATTCTATGCCTTTGCCCCTCTCACCACCTTAGCGGAGATGGAAAACAGAAATTTCCAGTGAAAATGATTGAACCAGGATGCTGACAAAGGTCCAAGAGAACAAGAATTGGAGGAATGAAAGCGTTTTTGTTTTGTTTTGTTTTGTGTTTGCAAGAAATTGTGCAAAAGCTAGGAATAGCAAAGATATCGGTAGAGGCAGCGAAGAGCGCAACCGCTAAGAACCAAGGAGCCCGTGTAAAAACAAGAAACTCACATGTGATAAGTTCAACATGATGTCCCTTCAATTAATTCCCTGAATTTTCCAACTCTAATTTCTGACCATGAACTCTAAAAACATTAAATCTTGCTGTACTGAGTTACCTAAAACCTAAGCAAAAAAATGACCTAAACTGATGTTGAAGTCATATTTCATCCTCATTAAAAAGAGGAACCGGCGAGGGAACTTCCAGAGGTTTGCACTTATGATTGATATATTTTACAAGCTCGGTAAAGACAGTCATGAGAAATATGATCTGAATCAAAAACAAGCAAAAATCATGTGCTTCTTGCAAGAAAAGTACTGCATGGATCTTTTGTGCATGACATAATTATTCCTGGTAATGGCCTCTTGATGAGAGGATTCCATTGTGAGGGAAAAAAAGGAGGAACCTCCCTAATGCTCTGAGAGATTCCTGATAAAACACACCAACCCAGAGCAAAGGCTTATTTCTGAATTTCTGTGAGCCCACTAGAGATTACCCATGTACACATAGTTTTTTGAATTTCTCATTTCTGAGTTGGAGAGAGAGAAAAAAAAAAAAAAGACAAGAATTTTCCTAGGAAACACCCATGAATTTTTTCCAGATCTACACCAGGTCATTTGCACGGAACCTTTTATTTTTGTTGTTGTGAATTATTTCCACAGGAATAGGTAAGATGGAGGCAAAGCCGGAATGCCGTCTCTTATGTCTCATCCATTCAGTAAGCGTTTATTCAGTGCCTACGGCATACACCGCTCTAGGCACTGAGGGACAGCAATGCACAGCTGTGTTTATCACCCAAGTCCTCATCTAATTGAGTTTCACTTGGCATGAAACTTAGATAGCATAGAAGTCATTCAATGTTGCAATAAGAGAATAATGCTGGAAAAATCTGATTGGAGAATCTCTGAGTTTAAAGAATCCTTTAGCCTTTATGACAAGCTGTTGGGACAATTGAATGTTAACGATAACTTAAAATCAACAGAGAAAAGTGGATAGCTGTGAAAGTTTTGTTTATGAATACTGAGGAAACAACAAGCATTTGCTGTTGATATCTGCTCTACAGTATGGATTCCAGGTTGTGTAAGTCGCACATATTTTATTGATTATGCACGGCATACAACATGCAAAATACAACAACATGGACGTCCTTTCCATAAGGGGAGAATATCCTGCTTTGCAATGAATAAAAACTCATTAACTGAAAGTTATTCTTTTTAGCATATACTTAAAGTTCCTAGGAAGAATAAAAATGTTGCCTGTCATGAGGACTAATCTTTAATGATATGTGCCTCTTCATAATAAAATTGAAATCTGATATGTAGTTACTTGTTTTTCATTGAAACTGAACAACGGGATGTGACAGATAAAAGTTGTCCTTTCTCTGCGAGAATCTTTGTTTTTAACAATACGCCCACTTTCTATATTACTGCTGCTTCTCCCTTGGTTTATAATATAATCAATCTTCCATTTTCCCATGCTTAGAGTTTTAGGAGTTTGAAATTAAAATACCAATTCATTGGGGCAAAAGAAACATAACATGACTCCAAATGCTGAAATTTAAAAGCAAGAGTTTTGGCTAAATTCTACTCCTGACTTGTTCTCTGGAAAGCTAACAATTTCTGTTTCTAGATTGTTGAAAACAAAACTAGTTCCACCTGCCCAAAAGACACATGGGGGAGACTGATGTTGCAAAGAACGGTATCTCTTACGAAGTTCTCACCACTCCGGCGATCCCTAACCAAGTGGGCTTACAAAAGTCACTGTCCCTTCAGTGCTTTCAGGGAGAGCAGGGCTGTGTGAGGCTTTCTAAATGAAACCACATGTTCCACATGGATGTTAAATGGTCCCATTTGGCATCCTTTTAGGGAAAAGATTTTACCCAATCTTCTTTGGTCTAATTTCTGACATATACGGGATAACCTTGGGCCCTCCACATACTATTCCCAGAGGACATGGCCCACTCTTAAGAGCACAACGTTTAAACCCATGGAGCAACAGTGACCCCCAGTGGCCAACAGTGTGGTCTTAACTCCTGTTTGTACTTGGGAGAGTTGAATGATGGTCACCATCCAGTTCATCCTATTGATAGCTATTAAATCAATTAAATAAGTCAATGCTTCTGTGACCTGCTTGGTTTTGCTTTGACAGCAATGCATACATGGCCAGCAATAATGTATCTATGTTAAATAGGGAGCTTGTTAGGCTTATTTATGATTAATATAGGGTCGAGAACAAATCTTTTGTTCCCCAATCCTGTTAATGAAAATAATCTAGCATGTATTAACCTGTTGGAGTACTAAGTTATGTGTAATTAAATGATTCTTGTGGAGAGAACCGAGTTCAAATCCTTCCTGTACCACTTATTCTTTGATCTTAGACATGTCACTGAAGCTTTCTGCATCTTTGTGAAGGGGGAAGAAATGGTAGTTTTGTTGTAAGAACGGAGATACTAGATGCAACATGCTTGGAATGTGGCAAGCATTTAATAAATGATAACCATTTTGTTGGTAGTGGTATAGGAGCTTGGGTTGAAATGTTTATGAATGCCAGGGCTTTATTAAATTGTTGATAGAGTCATTATATCTAAGCCTCTTTGTGATGAGAAGTAAGGAATGGAAAAGTCATTCCACCTAACATATGTGTTCTTCCTCTGCTTCTGTTTCTAGTCTTTGAAGCCATCAAATCATGCAACAATCCAGAGTATCGTGAGAGCTGTGGGGGTCGTTCCTGGGATTCCCGAGCCTTGCTGTGTACCAGAAAAGATGTCCTCACTCAGTATACTATTCTTTGATGAAAATAAGAATGTAGTGCTCAAAGTATATCCTAACATGACAGTAGAGTCTTGTGCTTGCAGATAACCTGGTGAAGAACTCATTGGAATGCTTAATTCAATCATTAGTTTATTTTTATGGACTTTTTTTTTTTGCACTGCCAATGCATTTTGTTCCAAAAGTTTCTTTTTTTATATAGTCAAAAGAAAATGAGAAAATAGACTGAAATTTTCCACCAAGGAGAACTGGACTGTATTTGTTTCTGAATGTAACTAAAAGCAAGATTTTATAAATATGGACATTTCTTTCTTTCTTTTAATGACACAAGGAAAATGATCGCTCAAACTGTTCTTAGAACTGTTAGAGAACACACTGATTTATTTTTGTAATGGGCTTTGAAAACACATTGGAAAACCAGCAATAGCATATCATTTATCTCTATTCATCTAACAACTAAAGGAAAAATGGGAAGTAATTTCATATTTCGAAGTGGGCTCATTGCCTTAGATTCCTGAACAACTCAGCAAGTGCTAAATAATCCAATCAGCGTTGATGCTGATCTTAAAAGTTTTTGAGACTCTTGTTTATCCTGATTTTCCCTCCGCAAGTTATCGTGTGAGTTCATTAGAAAGCGTGTGCTCAGAGTTACTGTGTGTGTATATATGTGCATGTGCCAGGTACCTGTACCTCTGGGTTTGCTTAAGTCAATCCACACAAGACTTTTTTTTTTCTTTAATTTCGCATTCTGGCAAGTTTCATTCACTTATGAGAACTTTGCTCAATATGATGGAAAGATTCAAGAACTTATACAATTACCACTTGACACAGCCATTAAGGTGGCTATCCCGTCGTTTCCATTTCACTGACTCCCAGAAAAAAAGAAGCAGCAACTCAGTTTTAGAAAACCCAGATGCAATTCCCCTTCCATACTTCTTTTTTGCAAGTCTTCTCATTTGTTCTTCTAAGCTGAGTTCAAAAATATTTCCTTGAAGCCATTAACTTTTGAAAAGTTGTGGAAGTTCGAGCTCCCTTTACTTCTTGTAAAGTTATCAACAGATGTTGATGCTTAAAAATGGATGGGATATCGGAGATCTCATTAATTCAGTCACATAATGAATATCATGCTTCAGCCACACCCAGTTTCAGGCAGCTTTTCACATGGATCAGACTTTCGGCCAAGTCATGGAATCTACGCTTTAGCAAAGCTCACTAAAATACATCTACCAAGAAAGTCAATTCATCTTAGCTCCATCTTACTTATTAATTAGAAACAGCTAAGCTATTTCAGAGGCTTTGTAGTATCAGAAGACAAGGGGTTTTGTACTGTCTCTGCCTGTAGCTATCTGTGGTGGTTCAGTCATTTAATAAATATTTATTGAGCATCTATTTTGTGGAAGGCACTGTGTTAACTGTGCGTCTTTAGTCCTACGCTAGTAAAATGAACTGATCACTTGAGACTACTTGAGCTGGAAGGTCCTTTTAGCACTAAAAGATTGGATTTATAATACTATTTCACATGTGTCTTCTTTGAAGGGCTAGTAGTCACAGAAAAACACTGCAGTTACCTCTGTTCATAAACCAACTGAAAGAACATCCTACAAGTTCAGTGTTTGCAAGTGAGTCTGGGACAGCATTGTCTGTGGTTTACATGGTATGTGTTTATTGGAAGCCTATTTTTGAAAGATTATCATGAAAAGAAGACACTTTTGGGTACACAAAGCTTAGTGTGGATGTGTGTTCATTCTGTGAATTATGTTTGGGTGCCTAAATTACTTTGATTTCTTCTAGTTCATTTCTTGTTCTAGTAGCATAAAGTTAAAGACTCAGTGAGATGGAGGATGAAGTGACGTTTTAATAAATTTTCTCAAGAATTTGAAAACAAAATGATCTGAATACTCTGGTCAGAAATAGACCAGAGTAGGGACCAGCAGTTAGCGTAATGGCTATGTCACTGGACTCCCATGTAGTCGACCACGGTTCGAGTCCCGGACCCGGTGGCTTAAACTCACGCCGGGCACGTGTGTGTGCGTGCCCAAGATCCCAAGAGGAGAATGCAGGAGAAGGGATTGCGGCGTGGCCATCCCCCCTGGGGGTTGATTTCTTGCTTTCTATCTCTCTGTCTCTCCTCTCTGTCTGGCGAGTCCACGTGCCCTATAGCTAAAAACCTCTCCAAAAAATAAAAAAGAAATAGACCAGAGTATAGCTACCATATCCAAGTCAGACTGTTTTTGAATAAAGAAAATTTATTTCTCATTGGTAAATTTGATAAAATTGTTAATTTAGGTTTTTTTTTTCCTTGAGATAAATCAACCCAAGTCTTTTGTGATTCCTATGATCACTTCTTAGCATTCCTATATCCAGATGTTTGTAACCTTTCTTAATTTCAATTAATGACTACTTATTACAGATAAAGTTCTTCAGTGGGAAAAAAAAAAAAAAACCACCTCTAAATAAAAATTTCCAAGTACCAACTAATTAAGATTTTTAAGTAGCAACTAAAATGATAAAAATTATAGCACGTGAAAGAACTTGGACAGTCTCTTAGTAATGGAATAAGTTTTGACCAGGAGTTATTTCTGGGTGAACTGAAACTATCATTTCACTACTGAGTTGGAGATATATTACTGCATAAATGGGAACCATTGTATCTGCAAAGGATAAAAGAAGTTACTTTTCAGAAGTAGGAGTTGAAGGTAGTAGATTTATGTTTTAATTCATACGAATCTGCTTGGAAAAGTAACGAAGTGCCTATCCACAATTCGCTAGGTCTAGTTTCTGTGTAATTTCTACATACACCTTTTAGAAGTCTCCTGATATAAAATTGGCATTGATGATAAGAGAAACTACATTTATAAGTGTCATCTCTTATACCGTGCCCCCCTCCCTCTCTCTCTCTTCCTCTCTCTCAACATGCCCCACCTTCATATTTCAATGCAGGACGCATGTGCACGTGCACGCACACTCACACACAGTCATTTTTTTTAAAAAATTCCTTTACAATAACTGTTTTCTTGAACTCAAATGAAGGGACTATTAATGAAAGTACAGTGTTTTAAAAGTCATTTGTGTCATAGAACTTTAACTGGAAAATTGGATTTCTCAGATCTCAGGACTACAGTATTCCAGCTAAATTTTTACATGCATCTAGCTAGATATTATTACCTGATGATTTACTCATGATTTACTCATTAAGATTTTCTTTTACCTATTTCTGAATAGAAGTCTTATTACCTGCTTAATATTTTTATAGGCCATCATATGTAATATTATTATCAGTTTGCTTATAAAAACATTTTTATATGACATTCAGTTTACTATTTCTGCTTTTACTTTTCTCCTACCAAGTAACTAATGTGTGAACATGTGCTTTTTGTTGAATCAAGGTTGGGTTAGTGACTAGCTACGCACAGCTGATATGTAAGATTAAATAAGAAATCACGGGTAAGTCTGATTTCTCTGTATAGCTTTTTATCCCCTGAGAATTGTATGTCGATGTAGTTTATAAGTGATAAAATGATCCCTCTTTTTAAAAACCAAGGCTTCCCTTCAGTTTTCCATACTAGTTACTGTAAATGTTTCTTTGAAAACTTAATGCTTGTACAGTCAATGGCAGTTTAAAAAATATATATATATTATATGTATATGGAAAAACTTAAAAGGTGCTTTTAATTTATTTAATGACTGTTGCCTTCCTATAATGGTATAATTTCCATCCTTAGATTGTGAGAAAAACTTCTTTTATATATAGTGATTAGATACAAAATGAAATTTGTTTTTTCTTGGTCCAATTCACTTAAAGGACATATCGCAGTGAAACTGGGAGGGACACTTCACTACTGATGTATAAGCTTTGCTGAATTTGTATCATTTTGCTCCACTAATGAAGAGCTTTTCATTACACAACATGGAAATAAAGGTTGCTTCATCGAATATTTCCCCATTCTTTTCTACTTATTGAGAAAATCTGTATTTCCAGAACGTTTTCAACTGTGCTATATTTAAAACCTTGAAAATAAAGCATGGACAGAGAGTTGCACATTTTCAGATGGTATTATGGCAGTTTAAAAAATATATATATATTTTCTGTATATGGAAAAACTTAAAAGATGCTTTTAATTTATTTAATGACTGTTGCCTTCCTATAATGGTATAATTTCCATCCTTAGATTGTGAGAAAAACTTCTTTTATATATAGTGATTAGATACAAAATGAAATTTGTTTTTTCTTGGTCCAATTCACTTAAAGGACATATCGCAGTGAAACTGGGAGGGACACTTCACTACTGATGTATAAGCTTTGCTGAATTTGTATCATTTTGCTCCACTAATGAAGAGCTTTTCATTACACAACATGGAAATAAAGGTTGCTTCATCGAATATTTCCCCATTCTTTTCTACTTATTGAGAAAATCTGTATTTCCAGAACGTTTTCAACTGTGCTATATTTAAAACCTTGAAAATAAAGCATGGACAGAGAGTTGCACATTTTCAGATGGTATTATGAAAGAATCGTGACCTACATCAGCATAGCATCATTAGCGTTGTGGGAAAAGATTGAAATACACCCAAAAGGGGAAATAGCTTTTATTTTCCAAACTTGAGGCATTCAACTTAATTTTTTTCATATTTTCTTTTCCTTTTTTTCCCCCAAAGAGTACACACTCACTTAAAATCGGTATGTCCGTGTGCATGCAACATATTTTGAGTGTTAGGTTTCAGTGAAAAAACTTTAATTTGACAGGAAAAACTATTGAGGGACAGCCCACAGCCCAGTGGTTAAGGAAGATGGGTCCCACATGGTTTGCCATGCAGTTTTTACATCCCGGACCCAGCAGCTTGAAGAACACCCTCGGTGTATGTGCATGAGTGCCCAAAATCCCAACAGAAGAAGAAATGGAGGAGAAGGGATTGCCCTGTGACCATGCCCCATGGTGATGCTTTCCCTCTCTCCCCCTCTCTCTAGCAAGCTCTCAAATCTGCTGGCAACATAAAAAAAAAAAAAAAAAAACTGAAATTAGGTGAAATTAAGCACATATCAAAAATTTCACCCAATTTCAATCATTCAAAAAAAGAAATGTTGCCAGAAGATGCATGCAAACTGGGGACCAGCAGTTAGAGTAATGGCTATGTCGCT